ATTAAAATATGTAATATTATTACAAACATATCCCATTACTGTGAATGGGAGTGGCACATGTTCTCACACAGTTATCAGATGTTTGGCAAGTTTCAAACAATTTATTAGACTGTGAAGTACTGTAAAGGCATCACAATGTTATAGTTAGACTATTTGTTTAACAGACTTAGAGCAAAATTTTCCAGGAGCTGTAAGAGAGGTACAGTTTTGCATCTTAATAAGAGTTTGTTGGAGGGAGAACTAGTTAAATTATTTATTTACTAAATATGATTTGTCTCTAAGCTTTTAACCTCTAACCCCAGCTTGAGATGGAGGGGACACCACTTCTTATATACATGTCACAGATATGTTTATATAATATACTTTTGTTTTAGAATACTTGCATTCTCTGTTGTTGGTTTTTGTATGTTTTTCTATTTTATCACTTTTTGGATGACATTTTCAAATAATACAGATTTTTCTCTAAAATGAACAATGTGCTAATTTAACAGATTTATAATATAAACAAGAGATAATAATGCATAAAATGTTTTTTAGATATGGAAAACTACTTGCAAAACGTATAGATGCTCCACTGACTATTGGGAAATGGGTTCCAGTGACAAGTCGTTTCTTTAGTGTTGTCCATGGAGACATAAGCAGGTTAAAATCCAATGTCCGTGACTTTGTGGAAGAGAAAGCTAAGTTGTGCCAGCCAGACAACATCCATATTTGTGATGGTAGTGACGCAGAGAATGACTATCTTCTCCACATGATGCAGAAACAGGGAATGCTAATTCAGCTTAAGAAGTATGAAAACAAGTAAGTTCTTGTACATTTTTATGTTCAAAGATTTGATGCATGTTGAGAATTAATGGACTACCAGTTCTGACTCTAACTAACCAAAAGTTATATGTTCTGTGCAGTTTATGGGCTTCTGTAGAAAAATTAGTTTTGAACTGAGTTCAAAACTTGGGTGTTTATGTAGCTCTCAATGGATTGAGAGGTAGCATCTGTACTTACTGAAAATCTTTCTCCAGTCACTTTCTTTACATAAGTTAATCATGTATTTTATAATCACTTCTATTAAAAGATTTATTATCATGAATAGTGAGTTTGAAAATGTATTAAATTAATTTGCTCAGAAATTTCACCTTTTATATTTAATATATAACCTTCTTGTTTTGACACTGATTTTGACATATTGACTCATTTCTCTTTCTGACTGTTTAAACATGTTTTTTTTTTTTTGTGATGAAGCAGGTCTTAGTTTTTGTTGTTTGGTTTTGAGTTTTAATCTGCATTGTATACTTGATATAGCTAACTGTTTACAAATCCATGTGAATTTTTTAATGTAAGTTTGGAATTTCAGTGTTGTTCTGTAGTTGTTTTTTTATGATTGATTTTTCATATCCATTACATGTTTGCCTATATATGGTAATATTATACTTATTGCTTGTTTTGGAATGTTGTCAGTAAACTCTTTGTGATAAATCATATAGACAATATTATTAAACATATGAAAATCTATGTTCCAAAACAAGCAATATTTGCATTAGATATTGGTTTCATCATGAAACTCTTTCAAATGGCCTGATGATGGACTCTGCTGAAGTCCAAAGCTTGTATGGTTTCTTCAGATTCTCTTGTGGGTTATATATCTTACCAGATGTTGACTTGAATTGTGAATTATTGTTAAGTCTTGAAGAATATGATCAGTGTAAATCTGTAGACCTTTTCTGCCATTTTCACATCTTTCTTTGCACTGTGTCAATTTTCACCTAATAACATCATCTAATTGTTTTTCTTCATGAAAATTTGAATTTGTAGTATGTTTGCTTATAATTACATTCATATAAATTACTTCATGTTTTGGTATCTACAGAAATAAATGAGCTTCATTGTGGAGGGACTCTGAATATGTTAGTTAGATTATTCTTTTGAAATTTTTGTGACGTATTGCTTTAGATGCAGAAGGTCTTCAATTTGTGCTTATCAAGAATGAGTAAAATTTGCATGTGGTATATTGTGAACCCACTGAAATGTTCCTTTTCTTATACAAGTACATCATGGGATCTGATAGCTCACATTGTGCCAGGTCTTCCGCTGTTCATTGGCAGTCTCTAACCTTCTTTCTTTGCTTTCCCTCTTTACTTACCACTGCTGAACGTATCCTGTCTGGCTTTCTAAGCTACTTTACAAGCCATAAGAACATGGGAATTTAGATGGGTTTTAAATATACTTACATAGTTTCTTATTTCCACTAAACTAAATGACAGTCCAGTGAGCTTACCCTCCTTATCAAATTGTCTCCTCTTATTTCTAACTAAGGATCTTGGCACTGATTGATAAGCATTTATATGACACATATTTTCTTTGCTCAAGATGTATATATATTTGGCTCTGTTATACTCCCCCACCATTTTTTTCTAGTGTACATTTCTCTTTCATTGTCCATGTAAAGATATATTTACATATTTGAATTGTATATTTTTATAGATAAAATGAAATCCAAACAAATGTATAATAGATATCTCAAAGTAAACCTTTTTTCCTCCATTATCACCATTCTCAATGCCTCGTATATGTTCAGCCAGGTATTTACCAATCTGACCATGTATTAGGTCATGAATGTTTCTTTTTGGTAATGGCAAGTCTCATAGTTCTCCTGCATTAACAATATAGGTTTTATATAATTAGGAAGTAACAAGAGGGAGTTTTTTTACATTAAATTGCAATGGTACCACTTTGTTTAATCAGATATAAGTACTTTTTGCATTGAACATAAAATAAAATTATTTCATGTTCATTATTATATGTCTATTACATGTTTGCTATTTTATTAATGCTTATTCTGTTTTACATACAGTTTTTTATGTAAAATTATTTCCAATTTGCAATTGGAGTTTATCAGTTAGCATCTACTTTTCTGACATTTTAAAAGGTCAATGGAGAACCATTTAGAAAAAGTGATAAAATATAACTGAAATTATTTAATTGTTTAACCCTTTCACTGCAAAAATTGACTAAAGTCGATTGAATCTTTATTACTGTTAACTGCAGCAGTCAACATTTCTCTACAGCAGCCAAAATATTTTCTCTTTACTGCAACAATTGACAGATCGACCGTGGTCTTTAAATGGCTGCTAAACATCCCTGTGTGCAGCCATCTGTGAATAACTTTAATAAAATGAAAATAAACAAGACCAAGCTGATCTATTCATGCTGCCTACACTAGTGATGGGCAGTCAGTAGTCATTCAGTAAATTGAGTTATTAATCAACTTGTCAAATTACTCATTAGAGGCAAAGGTGCATTTTTTTACTTTCTAAAAATATTGCTTGTTTATTTATTGAATAAAATCAACTAAATGGTTAACTAATTGCCCATCACCAGCCTAAATCTCAGCTTTGCATACATTTTAACTCTATTTTCACCAAATTTTACTGTCATATATTGAAGAACCATTTTCCTTACTTAATATTGTTTTAAAGAAATTTTAATGCCAAGTAAGGAAACTTTAATGGTCATTTTAAGTTGGAAAAGTAATAAAAGGGGTCAAAATAAGACTTTTATTTTTTTATACAGAATTAAACACTTTCGGGTAATGTCCCTGAAATCTAATTACATATATGAGTAGTTAATATTAACTTTGTTTCATATTTTAAAAGTTACTATTTTGTTTGTGATAAAAAAAAATATCACAATCTTTTTGTTTTATAAGCTCATCCTCAAATATTGCAGAAGGTTATTTAAAATATGTTTACAAAGTCACTGTTGGACATCATTACTTTGTGAATTTTACTGAATAAATCCTATTATTTTATCATTAGTTTATATCGTGTAGAATTAACTTTTTATGTGGACTCTCACTTTGACTGATCCTTTTAACAAACATGTAACCATGAATCCAAACATACTATAACTTTTAATGTAGTAAGTGTTTCTTCACAAAATTGACAAGCTTTTAGTAAACATTACAAGTATTGTGTACAAAAAATCAGATTTTTAATTATTTTTACTAAAGATTTGTTTGAATTTATGACATCATAGTCTGGCTCTAGCTAGTCTGACTCGGACTGATTAGCCTGAGTGCAGGGTGATTTTCATGATAAGATTAAAAAAACTTTTTATTGTCTTACAGTTTTCAGATTTCATTTCCATAACCTATAAAACCTCCTAAATAGTTATCAAAAGTTTTTCAATACAACTTTATATTCTGTATGTTATTTTCTCTACACTAAATTATATGGGCTCAGTCCATTTTACCAACCTTTAACCACTGTAAAAAAATCCAAATAAATCTGAATTACCATATTTTATTTGTAAAATGGCTACAGATTGTAACAGAAAATTAGTTATTTATCCTAAATAGCCCTGGGCTTGTAACAGTTCACATCCATTTTTATTTCATTTTATTGTTTTATTGCTCTTTGAACCATGTCTAGCTACTAAAGTGTAACAAAGCTAAAAATACATGACAAGAAAATAGCTCAAGTAACAGTAAAATGGAGTATTGAATTACGTAATGCATGTTCAACTTGTATATATACCTCAATGGGAAATTTTTTATCTAAATGTATTTTGTTTCATTTGTGTTTTCATATCTAACCTAATAAGTGTCTAATTTTTACATTTTGGTTACTTTTATAACAATAGATGAACAAACATACATAAAAAGAAAGAAATTTACTACTAGCAAATAGATCTTGAATTTTTTGTGATTGAAGATTTGAAGTGTCAATAGAAGCTAATCCTAATTTTTGCTAGAATTGTTGTTATGCTGTTAGTACTTCACCTAATTTTTATTTATTTCAAATATTCAGTTTAGAACACAAAATCATAACATCCATAAAGTATAAAATGTCCTATAATTATTATAATTTAAATGACTTTCAAACTAAGCTACAAGTGTATTAAAATAATTCCCTTAGTTGGTTAAGTTGAACTTGGCAAGAGGAATTTTGAATTTATGTGCCAAATAACTCAAGCTGTTGTGAGAAGAAGCTAGCATTATACATAAGTTAGTAAATTTAAATATTTTCTTTCTACTGGTTATAAATAATTTAATAGCAAATGTTATAAAGAATTAATGAAATTGTTTGTAAGACAGTGTGTGGTAGGAGAACATGGCATGTGGATTGGACTTTCTGGTTTATATCTAAGTAAAACAGGATTATTAGAGGTTATAAAAGATTATATTAGCAATATTGGTACTATAAGTTTTTAATTTGCAATAAAACTCAGAAGCTCAAATAGGGATGGAAAGATAATCTAAAATGTGTACTTTGGAGCAAACAAGAATTGCATGATACAGAAAAGTGAAGATGAGAACTTATTTAAATATATCTTTTTTTGAAAATAAGAAATTAAAACTTATACTGAAACGTGAGTTATTAATTATATTTTGATGTTAACCTTGTTGACATAAATTGATAATGTAATAGTTTAATATAATTTTGAATGTCACTTTAAAAAGGTCGTGATGTACACACTTTCACCTACCTGTATGCAGAGGGTTAATGTCATTTTTAGTAGTTACTAAATAATTGCAATATTCTTTCTTTTAGCTGGCTAGCACGTACTGATCCTGCAGATGTGGCTCGTGTTGAAAGTTTAACTTTCATTTCTACCCCAAATAAACATGACACTGTCCCTGTAACAAAAGAAGGAGTGAAAGGAACATTAGGCAATTGGATGTCTCCAGCTGATCTAGAGAAAGCCTTTAATGAGAGGTATCCAGGCTGTATGAAAGGTAAGGAATACTCACTCAAATGTGTTTTTCTTCCAATTTGAAAAAGTGAACATTTTCAAGCTTATTTATCCATTTGTGGATGCTTTGAAAATATTTTTCATCATTATGCATTATTTAAAATTTCAGTGGCTCCCTAAATATTGTCATATTACTAACAGTACATTTTGTTCTTAGGCAAAAAACTGCTATTTGAAAATTCTTTGTATTCCTATACAGTATTAATTTGTCTAAAAGTATCTTCAATAATGTTTTCACATGTAATATTATGTTTTTGTAGCTAGTATTTTACATTTACAGAAAATAGTCTTTGTATCTTAAATTATTTTGCTATTCTATTTAGACACAAATATTATTCATGCACCTCTTAAATAACTTGAAACATCAGATACAGTTTTTGTAATGAATATTTAGTAAAGCATGCTCCAACAAGAAAATTTGAATTGAGAATATCCTCCTGAACTTGCATATTGCATGCCTGTAGATAATTTTTTACCTTATTTATTTATTTTTTATTAAAATCACTGTTCAGTAAATCTACCCATTGTTTTGTATTTAACATCATGTTTCTGTACTTTTAAAACATACAGTTAAATTTAGATATAGAACTATTGAAGACATTTTTGCATTCAATTTCCAAACCTTTCTATTTTGTGAATTTAGTTTTGAGTAGTAAAGGTTAATATACAGTAAATTTATGAATAAGGAGCAATTTCTAGAATATATATGACAACTAAAAACAGTTCTTGTTAAGAGTACTTTAGATGGAGAAGTTTTCATTACTTTGAATACATAATTTAAAATTGCATTCACTTATATGGAAACATATTAGAAATAATGGTGATTGTTTTGTTTTAGGTAGGACAATGTATATCATACCATTTAGCATGGGTCCTATAGGGTCCCCTATTGCTAAGATAGGGATCCAGCTCACAGATTCCCCATATGTAGTGTGCTGTATGAGAATTATGACAAGAATGGGATCTGCAGTACTGAAGACCTTGGGAGAACAAAGCTATATTAAGTGTCTTCACTCAGTTGGTCAACCTCTACCAATGAAGTGTAAGTGTACACTATAGATTTGTTTCACATCATGTGTATCAGATTTCATTTACATAACCTCTAGGACCTTCTAAATTTACATCAGAAGTTTTTTTTTACAGTAAAACTTTATATCTTATCTGTTTTTTTTTACCCTAAAATTATATTGGCTTGGTCAGTTTTACCAACCTTATAACCATTTCAAAAAATATCAAATAAATTAAAATTATCCTTTTTCTTTCTAAAATGACTGCAGATTATAACAGAAAATTACAGTTATTTATCCTAAACAGCTACAGGCTCGTTACAGTTATCTTTGGTTATCATGGTGTTAATGTGGTTGGTTGAGTTAAGATATTTGTTAAAGGTTATCAATAGGTACTTCAGTATTTCTTCCAGAGGGATAACTGTATCAGCAAAAGATGATTTGTTCTTATCAGAAGGTCTGTTACTGAGTATTCAAGATATGGCTGAGTTCTTGGCAGGGTTGATGACTATTCCTGTGTCATTGCACCATATTGTTAGATCTGGGGTGAAATTCTCAAAAATTAGGTACTCAGCTGGGTGAAGTGGACCTGTTTTTTTAATCTAAGTGTAAACATAAAAAATGACAATTTTGAGTGTTAATGAATGACAGGATATTTGAATGTATGTGCATCTGAAAAAGGAGCTCAGATAAGTCCTAGTACTAGAACCGTCTTAAAAAATAAGTTCTGGTACTCAGTATGGGTGAGTACCAACATAATTTCACCCCTGTGTTTGATGCAGTCACAGCACAGTGCATAAGTATCATACTCAATGTTGAGGTTATGCATTACCAGAGTTACTTTTATGAGTGGTGGAGTAATATAATGCATTACTTTTAAAATATTTACATATATTATTACAGGTACTCTAAATCTAAATGCAACATTTTATTTACTAATGTTTTAAATCATGGTTTTCATTAATCTACCAGACTTTCAAAAAAACAATTGCTCCTGTATTGGTTTATTGCTTTGCTTGAAGTTGAAATTACAACAAAAATCCCATTTCATGATTTGAAATTATAAATATCCAACCAGCTGTATTGCTGTCTTTGGTGTAGGCACCATTTGTGACTATGTTGAGAAGTGACTATCAACAATGGTCTTCAAATAGGTGCTGAGAGGGGTTTTCTGTTTCACTCTGTGCCCAATTTTTACATTTTCTATCTAGGCTAATTTCCACAGACCATAAAATTTTAAAATTATAAAAACAATAAAAGAAGCAGCCAAGTTTGACTTACCTAACAGAAAACTCATTTTCCACTTGCTTTGACAATTCCAGGAGTTGTGCTGATGTTCTGAACCCTCATGTGGAGATCAATTGCCTTATAGGAGGTAGAAGAGAGTTTGTTTACTGATGTTACCATTGGCCTTATACTGTCCTATGGAATTTCTTTCTTACTGTTCGTAGCTACTTTTTACAGTACTTTGTTTTTCAACAGCTTCATTCCATCTGAATGCTGACGAAGACCTTCAATTGTTGCTCTTTTCATCTTACTAATACAAAGGAGGTACCTGTACAGTTGTGATGAATTTGATGAAGGGACTTCTTCTGCAAACTTACTATCTTCCTGTTTTAGCTTTAACCCTGTGTGGTCTGACATCTTACCGTGCAGTTGCTTAGCAATCTGCCATCCATCTGGGGACCAATCACTTTGAATTTTTTATAGTACTACCAGTGACTCAGTTGCAAATATTATGTTAGAGGCACTGTATATTTATGGTTCATTGCTTTCAGCATTCCAGAGGAGAGCTTACTTTATGGTTACCACCTCTGTCATTCTGCTGCTTCAGGGAAGCTTGAATGCTCCATTTGCCTTAATTATTTAGAATGTTATTGCATCATGAGATGATGAATGACCAATCAGTTTTCTCACTTCCTTTGGTGTAGGAGCCATCTCTGGCTATGGGAGTGACAGATGAGTTTTCACCATAGTCTTTAAATAGGTATTGACAGGCTTTTTCTGTTTCACCCTCTGCTCATTCCCTACATTTTACTATATATATTAGAGCTTGTGGTAGTGAATTATCTCAATAGTGGGTATACAATATATTTTCACTCATGATTGGCCTCTGAGGCAACTTTTAGGCAATCCTCTGTTTTGTTGGTGTCTATGGGGTCGTCATGGTGCTGCATATCCCAATTCAAAAAGGCTGGTTCAATGATGGTTCAATGAAGCATTTTTTATGTGAAATCTATCGATGCTGCTGAGTCTTGTGAGGTGTAACAAAGCTCTGATAGGGTGGCCAAAATACATTACATGACCAGTCTTGAACAGGTGTTTTATATCTTTTCAATCTTTTGTAGCTGTGTAGTACTTGTACTGATCATCTGTAATGCATAATCCAGAATGGAGCAGATAAGACAGACCATTGAAAACCTTAAATTATCACTTAGTAATATCAAGACCTGGAAAATACCAATTTTGTGGGCCCTAGGTCTATTTACCTGAACATGATTCATGGTATTTTTAAAAGACAAGATAAAAAAGAAAATAAGTTTCATTTGAGTGGATTTGTAGTTATAGATCTCATATTAGTGTGAAAATGACATAACTTGGGTCCTTGAAAATTCTCATGAAGGTATGTAACATTCCTTGAATTTTGGCTTTACAACTGCAGTTCTTATTTTAATGAGATTATTGCAGTGTTTAAACCATTGCCAAAGCTTTAGACATTCTCCTCAGTGAAGAAAAGTGTTTGTATAAAATTTTTTAGCCCATGATGCAAATAGTTATGGAGAAGACAATTGCCCTAAAACTCAAGGTTTCTGCTAGAATGCTATCATTGGTAGATTACATCATTGATTCTGTCCAAAGTTTTCTTTTGCATTCTTGATTTTCATGAGGCAGTCTTGTCTGTTGTCTGTCACCAAAGTTTATTTCTAAGGTTATTGTACCAAGTTGTGGATCTGAGTGTCTATGGTTCAAGTCCTATTATTGCCAAAATAAAATGTTCTGCTATCTATGGGTGTGTTATAAAAGTGACAGTGAAATCTCTAATTACAATAGCCCAAGAATTGGTGGTGGGTGCTGTTGCTAACTGCTTTCCCTCTAGTCTATCAGTTCAAAATTAATAAATAATTTGTGTAGTTTTGTGGGATGATACAAAACAAAGTTCTAACATTTTAAAGGATTGAACTAGTTTTCTGTGCAGTAGGGTAATTAGTTTATTGATTAAAGTAAACATTTAATACTGTACATATGTCACAACACCAACAAGTAAAAATATGCTATTTCTGCACTCCTGTCTGGACTTCTTAAGAATTTTGTGCTATATATTATCATGAGTTGTATGATACACATGATCTGAATTAATATGTTTGACAGTTTTCTGCCCTCTACTCTTGAACAGTGCCTTATGAGAATTAGCTGTTTAAGTTTATATGAAAACTGTCTTTGAGATAATGTTTTATCTAAATTTGTTATTACATAATAGTTTGAGGTTATAATTTTTGTTTGAACATGTATAGATACTGCATCAATAAAAACAATATGAAGAAAAGCTAGGCCCAATGAATGATATTTGGTATAATGATACAAGTGTATGAATTACACATGTATATTTATCAATCCTCCTAATGAACCAATAAAATCTGTTAGAGCCTATATTTTGAAACTGCTTTTAATTTTCGGTGAAAATCTCTATATATATAAAAGAGGAAGTTTGTTTATTTTGTTTGCTATAGGAAACCAAATGGCTGAACTTACAAATTTTGAAATAATTTTATAATAACCAGTTTTTTTACAAGGAATTTAATGGTGCTATTTATTTTGTATTTGGTGTAGTATTTAATAACGAAATTGACAATTAATGATTATTGCACCATTTTTTTTGTCATAAACATGCAAACATAAGCACATTTTGCACATAGAAAGCATTATGGCGGGAGACACTCAGATCACCTTGCT